TCCTATCTAGGTCTTCTGCAGCCAGCACTCGGCTCTGGTGTCCGTGTTTTCTTGGCGGGGGGCAAAAATCAGAGTACAGAGGTGAGCCCCTTTGGCTGTCCTGTGTCTACCTTCCCTGGCCAGGCACAGCTGTGTAATGGCGGTGTTCTGGAACTCCTCAGCCTTTCCCTCAGAGTCTCCAGCCCTGTCTCGCACATCCTATGAAGATGACAGTAGTGCCCAGGGCCTGTGTGTGTGTCCTCAAGGTGAACTCAGAGACCTCTTCATGATCCTGGGGATGCAAACCTTTGTGAGGCTGCCCTCTATATAGCCTTCCTAGAGGGGGGGGAAGGGTGAGCAGACTTGCCCGCACGGGAGGGTGGGGAGAAGGATCTCGGTCTCCTTATCTGTAAACTGGGGCTTTCGCGGGTATCTGCGTGTGTGGTGGTAGGGTCAGTGACATGATGTAGGATGCAGGTTTGGAGCACTGCGGCTGCAGAGGCCTTCTAGTACAGAAGGAAAGTTTAGTTGTACACGAGTGTTGATTGAGTGCGTTGTGCAGATGTTCATAGCCTGGGGTAGGTAGCCCACTCCACCTCCAAAACCAGTGTGCAGTCTCCCCTCCTCACCAGGACAACATCCACCTGGCTCCCTGCGTTCAGGGTTATATTTAAAGCACTGCATGAAAGAGGCTCCTAGGCACCTTGTCTCTTTCAGAGTAGTAGGGCATCAGTGAACAAGTACCGACTCGGAGCCGTGCCAGCCCCGCCTGTGTATCCCATAAGGTTTACAGAGAGGGCTGTTCCTCAATTCTGGTTTATCCATGGAGAGGCTGAGGGACCTGTGGCAGCCGGAGTCTCTGCACACTGACTCCTTCCTCTTTGGCCTTGCTTTCTCTGCTGCAGGAGGCTCAGTCCTGTGCTAGAAAATGGAGTGCCAGAGGCTGCAGGCTGACCAGCAGAGAGCCAACCCTACAAGGGATAACACTAGGTTGGAGGAGGCCCCAAGGCTGCCCAGCAGAGAGCTCAAGGGCTGAGGCCCAGCCAGTAGCCTAGCATGGCAGCCTGCCTCGTTAGCTGGCCACGTTCTCTGGCCACACAGGCCTTGTTTATAACAAGGGCACAGTGGCACCAATCTCACGGGTTGTCTGTGAAGATTAGAGGGAAATGTGTTCTCAGATCTTAGAGAACTACTAGAAGTACTAAATATAAAAATGAAATCATTTTCAAGAGGGTTCTAAAAGAAATTGGTTGAGACTGGCAAGGTGGTTTGGTGGTTAAGGGCATTGCCTCCAAGCCTGACGATCTGACCTCAATGCCCAGAGCCCGCTGGCACAGAGAGAATGCAGCCTGCAGGGATGAATGGAGATGGGGTGGCCCTGCAGAGCTAGGCGGAGACTTCTCATTCAATAGGTGTTGATTATCACCTGTATACCAGGTCCTGTTCTGGGCACTGGAGAGTTTGCGGTAAACAGTACAAAGATTCTGAAGACGCCAGTTCTGATACAGGACACTCTCTTTGTGAATATATGAAAACACACATATAAACCCATACACCCCTCATGAGTGTGACCGTGGAGAGGTGTCAGCCACTGATGGAGGGCCTGCCTGAACCATTTCCACAGCCTGCCCCTATTTACCAGGTTGTTCTCAACCCTGGTTGGTAGATGTGGACGCTGTGCTTAGAGAAGTTTAGAAATACTGCTAGCATCACGGTACGGAATGGTGCTGGAGGATGGAAGCCAGGTGTCCCTGGCTCTCAAGTTGGGATGCGGAGCTGCTCCTCCTCCCTAGCCTTGCTTTAGTCTGGGGGCCATTGCCTGGAGCCAGCTGCATGGCAGAAAGGGATGGGCTGAGTCCATCTGCTTCTGTGGAAAAGGCTGCGTTCTTTCCTGGAATAGGCAGATGCTGACCTGGCTGTGTGGACAGAGCACTTCCGGGCTAAAGGGATTCTACCTGGGGGCCTAGGGCAGAGCCGCTCTAGGAGGTAAAACCTTCAGGCTGTACTTTGTGGGATAGCTAGAATTTTTTTTGCAGCATGATGAAGAAAGACATTCTGACAGACAGACAAAGCAGAAGTGGGAAGGCAGGTGGCAGGTATGTTAGGGACCAGCCAGCCTAGACTAGAGCATCCGGTGAAGAAGGTCAGGCAGCCTCCAACTTACTAAGGACTTTGAGCACTAAGTAGGGTGAGGAGGTTTTGCCGGTGAACCCAGGCCACTGGGGCACCAGTGAAGGGCTGCGCTGTGACGGCTGCTGTCCGCTCTGAACAGTGTACAGGAAGGAGACAACTCTGAAGCAGCAACACCCCATCATTTTATTAGAGTTGGGAATGGAACCTTGTGTGTGCTAGGCAAAACTCTACCGCTAAACTGTTACAGCTCATGCTCTTTCTAAGATCCTCTCCAGGCTGGGCTACAGAGTAAACTGAGTTGACAAGGGCCGGGAGAGAGCTGAAGGGAAGCCTTCCCAGGTGCTGGGAAGAGTGACTATATGTCCTTAGAGCAGCAGACACACTACCAAGGACTAGAACCACGAGAGAGGCTCGCTCCTCTAGGGAGTTGAGGGCAGCGCTCATGCCAGTCCTGGGAAGCCTGTATATGCCATTCAGATGGAGCAGCGACCAAGTGAGGGAGACCACAGCTTCCACCTAGACCTTGGCTGTTCTTGTGAAGAAGGAAAGACAGATTGGGGTACGCCTGGCCCTGTGGACGCAGAGTCTGGGCTCATTCTTGCTGTTCCACACATCGATGCTTGCCAGGAACACACACCGTAGCAGGAGTGCTATGGAGGTCAGTAGAGGGGACCAGTTAGAGGGAGCACCAGCTTCGAGACTATCTAGAAAGCCCTGTAAAATAAATGGGAGTCCTTGAATAATGAGCTCCGTCCCCTGAACACAACTCTTGGGTAGACGTCTGGAGCCAAGCGAAGGTACTGACTTGCTGACCCTGAGGACACTGCCTGGTCACCCTGCTCCCACCACCAGGACTAGCCTGGTAACTGAAGTCAGATGTTCAGCACCTCCTCATGCTGCACAACCTCGAGTGGCCCTCCCTCCTGCAGGATTCCAACTTGCTCTTTAATTGCCTATCGGTGGGACTCATTAAGTTCTGTCATTTGAACAACTCGCGGGGGCAGTGTGTTTTCCTCTAAATGCAGATATTCTTCTGAGGAATTGCGTCTTTATCTCTCACAGAAAACCACTAAATTAAAAGAATTGCCATTTAAAATTGCAGATTAAAGAGAAACTTAATTAGAAGGGATGGAAGCGGTTGTATTTGGAGCTTTTGTTCAGATCCCCCTCCCTCTCTGGCTGTCGAATCACTGCACTTGGAGTTTGTGTATTTGTGTTTTAGGTGAAAGGATTTGCCTAATTAAGCTTGTCATTCATCACCACCTGTTCTCACTAAAATATATGGCTGCAGTATTAAGCATGCCAAAGGATGTATAAATTAATCCAGTGGGGAATTACAGTGTCGACTAGGACATTCTTAGGTTTTATCCAATTTATCTGGTAGGAAAACCGATATTTTTTCCCCAGTAAAGCAAAACATCAGCTCGTTAAGGTTTTTTTCATTTTGCATTGAGCACCTGTTACCTTGCAGGCACTGTGTGGGGTGGGGCAATGATGCTACAGCCCATTCTCAGTGACTCTTGGGAGCCAGGCAAGGAGACTGGTGATTTGGATGCCATGGCTGAGGGAGTTCTGGGGTTTCTTGAGAGAAGTAACTTCTGAAGGCAACAGAGTTGGGTGAGACCGGAACCTGAGCAGGAGCTAGGTGTAAGAAGGCCTAGTTGCCTGTACCTAAGAGCGTGAGTTCAGGGCTGGAGAGATGGCTCAATGATTAAGGACGCTTGACGGCTCTTCTAGAGGACTAGAGTTTTCTAGTTCCCATAGTAGACGGCTCACAGCTGCTAATAACTTCAGCTTACTCTTGTCTTCTGTAGGTACCTACGCATGTACACACATGCGCGCACACACACAACACACATCTTTTCCCCTCTCTAAAGAGCTTGAGGTCCTCTGTGGCCTTGGTATGTGGTCTACAGGGGAGGACCTCTGTTAACCATGCAGCGTTCTGCCTGCTGGGGGCTCTCTTGTTCCCTGGCATCTGTTCCATGCATAATATCTAAAGGAAGAGGAGCAGGCTCAGGAATCCATGCGACCCTACTTGGATAGGGTTTTCCAGGAAGAAGAGGAGGAAGAAGAACAAGCGTGATCTGGTCTGGCAGCTGTGGGAGAGAAAACCCGGGTGTTCTGGGGCATTCCTCTTGTTAACGGTGGCAGTTGAGGATCTCAGCCTTCATTCCTTGAGGTGCTCACAGTTCGAGTACTTCCTTTAAGGGCCTGCTATCCAACATTGACTCAATTCAGCATAGGAACTTTTGGGGACAACTTAGGCCATAGCAAAACCCAGCATTTTTGGATCCTCTCTTACTCTTGCAAAGTGTCAAATGCAAAGCAGAATCGTAGCGCGATTTCCAATTGATCTTAATAATAAAAACCCGGTGTCAGATATTAGGGGGTAAAAGCTGAAAGAGAAGCAGAGCAGCCAGCCACTACCAGTTCTTACCTCTACAAAGTCCTCAGATCAAATGGGGTGTCCTGTCTCTGTAAGTCCTCAGACTGAATACCCAGAGCTCCTGTCTCCTCTCTCCGCCTCCCTGACTCCTGACTCCACCTCCCTAATGCTGGTATTAAAAGTGTGTGATTCCCAAATTCTGGGATTAAAGGTGTGAGCTCTGTTTCTCTTTTAGATTCATTCGATCTTGTGTAGTCCAGGGTGGCCTTGAACTCACAGAGATTCATCTGCCTCTGTCTTCTGAGTACTGGGATGAAAGGTGTGTGTCACCATGGCCTGGCCTCTATGGTAACTAGCATGGCTAGCTCCACACTCTGATCTTCAGGCAGGCTTTATTTGTTACAGTGTAAACAAAACACCACCATACAGAATATCGCCCACTGTGCTGCCTGGACCCCGGGTGATGGTTGCATCTGTCTTCTCCTTTCCATTCTTACAGCCCAGTTCAACGGCAGTGAGAAGCGGCAGTCTTCCCCATCACCTTCTCGGGACCGACGGCGCCAGCTCCGTGCTCCTGGAGGAGGCTTCAAGCCCATCAAACACGGGAGCCCTGAGTTCTGTGGGATTCTGGGAGAGAGAGTGGATCCCACCATTCCACTGGAGAAACAAATGTAAGTTCACTGATGCAGTGCCGGGGCCGCCCCTGCTTCCTCTAGATGCTGTGGCCTCCTCCACGTCTTTATTGTAAGTTCAGCTGATCACTGGCCCCTCGTGACAGGGGCTCCTGGGAGGTCTAAGCTCTTATCACACCATGTTGCCACCTTCACCCTCAGTGGCTGGCAGGAGGGATAGCAAAATCTTGAGCTGTCACTTTCTGTCATTTTTCATCCTAGTTGCTAGGTCTGAACTAAACCTCCCTTCAGTGCAAATCGGGTTACTGTACAGCTTTTGTGCTGCGTCTGTTTGCCCCTCATCAGCTCGGGCCTGTGCTTCCCTAATCCCATTCTCCAAGATCTCTCACCTGTCACAGTCTGAGGTCTACCCATACTGCCCTGCCCCTCCTCCAAGCACTGTGCCAGGACTGGCCTTTTCACTGCCCTTGCTCTTGACCACAATGACACCTCTGCTCTGCCAGGTCTGTCGCTGCAACTCTCCCTTACTCCAGGATGAAGCCACAGCATCAGTTTCTTACCACACCAGTTCTTGGGCTACAGTGAGTTTCTCCAGGCTTAGCAAGTTTATGCGCAGTAAAGGGAAACTAAGGCCCAGCCTCATAACCTAGACCCTATTGCTTTTACCTCCTCCTGCACTTTTCTTGTCCCCAGCCCAATCATGTGTCTGGTGTAGAGTGAGAGATTATGCTGGGCGATAGTGTTGGTGCACACCTTTAATTCCAACACTCGGGAAGCAGAGGCAGGCGGATCTCTGAGTTTGAGGCCAGCCTGGTCTAGAGTGAGTTCTAGAACAGCCAAGACTGCACAAAGAAACCCTATCTCAAATAAATAAATAATTTTTTTTTTTTAAAGAGAGACGCATAGAGTGAGGAGAGGTTGGTATTGCTGGCGCAGAGTAGGTCTGCATTGTAAAGTGACCGGTAGCTATTGCTGCATGGTTACATCAACGGTCCGTCTGTATGCAGTGAGTTCTTACCAGTCTAGACCTGGGTGATACCGGTTCTCAGGGCCGGGTGTCCTTCTCCAGGGCTTTCCTTACTGTTAGTGCTGAAGGAGGTACCTCCCACCACTGTAGTCCTGCCTCATCCCAGCTCCTGGTTCCTGTGGGACACCGGTGCTGTCCAGACTGGCCTCCTCTCCGTGTCGGGCCCCGTGAGATCAAGGGTGTAGTGAGTAAACACTGGAGAAACCAGCTGTTAATGGCTGGGTTGAATGACAGTGGTTGAGTCTCCATGACCCCTTGAGTCTAACCTGGCTGGCCATCTCCACAGGCTTCAGCGTGTTTCCAGCTGGTCCCTTGCTCAGACCCAGCAATAGTAGGCTGAATGCCCAAGACAGCCTGTGATCTCCGGCCTCCTACTGACAGGCTGCCTGCTGATCTGCTGGCTCCTGATCCACTGCCCTTTGCCCTCTTTGATCCTCTACTCCCAACCCCTCCTTTCTTTGAACATAAAGCAGCCAGGACAGGACCTTACATCTTACCTACTTGCCACCAGGGACTACTCTTAACAGGCCCCTGGGGCCCCTTTCTCTGTCTCTCTTCCAGTCCCTATGCTCAGGGAGGGCAGACAACGGGCAGCAATTCCCTAGGGAACTTTTCCTGCCTTCCCTGAGGACAGCTCAGTTTCAACTGGCTAGAAATGTGATCCCAATAGAATGCTTTTGTCAGCTTGCTGGAGGTATGTCACACAGACCACCCCTCCTGAGCCTGGGATCTCCAGATCTGTGGCCGCTTGTTTGTGAAGCCAACTTTGTTTTTGTTTGGCTGTTTCTCCCCATGGCTGCCTTAGGGCCCAGGCCCCCGGCATCCCTAGAAATTTTCTGATTATGGTAGCCTAAACATCCCCTACCTGTGTTCTGTTTCTGTGTAACCATAGAAAGACAGACAGATTGACAGTCTGTAGTGTGTATGCTCTCTCTCTCTCTCTGTCTCTCTCTCTCTCTGTCTCTCTCACACACACACACACACACACACCCCTGGCATCCCACCACGTAGTCACTTCTGCTGCTGCAATGTTCCTTTCGTGGACACAGAGGAGGCTTGGGGAGTCCCTCCTCCTTGTCACTGAAGGCCTTTAGTGATATTTTGTCTCCAGCTTTCCCAGTCACAGATTCATGGTTTTCATCCTATTCTGTGGCCAGGTGAGGCCTTATGCCCCCTGTACCGCACACTCCTCCTCCTTCTCTGGCTCATGTAGTATCCAGAAACGCAGTGCTGGGATTCTTACTTACCCAGCTAGTGCCAGGGCCATTTTACTGGAGCAGAGTCCAGCCAGGATCTTTCAGATTAGTGAGCTGTCCTCTCCTTTGCCCATGAGGCTTCCTATTGGCATGTTTGTTCTAGGAGCCCATTTCATTGAAAGAAATTCCCTGAGCCATGCTGCCTGCTCTGTCTCCACTACTCTTACCCTGTTAACTCTCTGGCTGCTCTTTCCAACACCCTTCCCAGACTAGTCTTGTGCCCGCACTAGACTCGGCCACAACAGGTTCTTTGTGGCCGCCATTCTTTGTGGCTTCCTTTCCTCCTCCTCCGGTCTGCACAGGCTTTCCTGGTCACCCTGCCTGAAACAGCCCCAGCTGTGGGATCCGGCCTCACTTTCACCTCCTTAGCACCTGTCACCACAGGGCAAACTGGATGGGCACAGAGTACCTAGTGTTGGGCTGCTGTATGGTCCCGAAGCCTTGCATGGGAAGGGACCCAGGGATTTGTCACTCTTCTCCCTCAGAATCTGACATGTGGCAGGCACTGACAGAGCAGCTGTCGAGCCTCCCCACGGGAGGTTGGAGTCAGCAGCTGCCCTCTGAGGGCACTGAGCCTCCTTGGAGGTCAGTGGGGGGGCTTGACCCACCCGACTCTGACTCCCCTCTTGTCCCCTCCCCAGATGGTATCATGGAGCCATCAGCAGAAGTGATGCCGAGAATCTGTTGCGACTCTGTAAGGAGTGTAGCTACCTTGTCCGGAACAGCCAGACCAGCAAACACGACTACTCCCTCTCCCTCAAGTGAGTACCTCATGCCCTCTGCCTACCCTGAACAGTGGAGTGTGCCTGCATGGGTCTAGTGAAGAAAGGATACGCTCCGTTTCCCCAAGAACTTGTTTGTGTGAGTTATTTCAACCTGGTTTTTACTGTAGTCTCCTTCTGGGGACCCAGAGAAGCTGTGATCGATGCCCCCTGCTGCTTTCCCAGAGGGGAGAGGCTTGTCCTCGGAAGTATGGCCACTAGCTAGGAAGAGCTCTCGTGTGCAGTGAGCCCAGACCTGTGCTTGGCTCTTGACACGTCTCGCCTGTCTTCGGCTTCATATAGTCCTCTGTAGACTGGGAAACTGAGGCTCGCAGAGCAGGTGACGGATGAGCGTGTCTGACCCTCCTTGTGCTGGGTTGTCAGGGCGTCCCTGGGCAGGTCTGCCTTCTGTAAACTCCACAGAGTTTAGGAGGGAATACCGTGAGCTAGAAAGAACCCCGCTGGGGTTATCGCCTGTGGCCGCTCTGCGGATTGCCAGGTCTTTCTGACCCATGAGCTATTGAAATAAACAGGTTTAGAAATAAGAAAAGAGTTGTTGTTTTTTGTTTTTGTTTTGTTTTTGTTTTTTTTTCCCATGTTGAGTGTTCTGTTGTTCATTGATGTTGCTAGGCAGGACCCAAGGAGAGATCTAGACTCCATTTTATAGATAAGAAAATGGAGGCTCAGAGGAAGAGGAACTCTTTAAGGACACAGAATTAGTGACGTAGTTGGAGTGTGACCCAGGTCCTGCATCTAGACATACTGTGTACCTTACCTCCTCTCTGCCCTAGATCCTTGCCAGAGGCTCATGATGGAGAGTGGGCTTGGCAGCACTGCATTCAGGAAAGCTGGCACCCATGCTGGCAGGGTGGCCAACCTATCCGCACAGCCCCAGATAGCCTGCTGCCATCAAGGGCCCCAGTGCTGCTGGGGTTGTTGTCCCTCTTTATCTGCCTCGGCGTCCATTCCTCTGGGGTCGCATTCCTCCTAGAATCTCCATTGTCTGGCACTGTGGAGGGACCAGGGCAGGGCCTTGTCAGGTATTTGATGCATGGAGACATGCTCACCCTAAAAAAGCAATCTAGTTGTGTGCCATGACCATATGGGGTTATGGGAAACAGTCTGCTGAGAACCTGTGGGGTGTGGGGTGTTTGAGAAGTCTGCAGCCAGCTGCTGAAGAAATGACCCCAGTGAACCCAGCGTCATCCATGCTTCTACCTCCTTGAGCAACAACTTCTCGTTACCCAATATGCATAAAAACCAAGTCACGGGTTGGTCCCAGAGGTTAAGGCTTGGCCCCTTTATCCTTGCCATGTGCCATTGGATTGGGGCCCTTTCTAGGGGTTGGACTTTGATTCTGCTTTTATAGTGATAGGCTTGTCATTCAGGTGGTCTGGGTGCTGTGGTAGCTAGTGGGAGACCGCCTCCCTCCTTGGCTGTGGTCTTCACAATTCTGAGCCTCCCTGTCCTCGTCTGTGGACTGGGATGGTGACCTGTTCCTAAGTAACAAGCATCTAGTCAGCCAGCATCACCCATGTGACCTAGTACAGTTCCTACCCTGTTCCTGTTTCCGGCTAGTATCCTCGAAGATGCTTGTTGTCTAGTTAAGAAACCTGTGGTTGGGCTGTGGTGACACATGCCTTTAATCCTAGCACATGTGAGGCAGAGACAGGTGGATATCTGTGAGTTTGCGGCCAGCCTGGTCTACGAAGCAGGTTATAAGCCAGCTGGAATTTATATCATGAGACTTTGTGGTCCAAAGTGTAGACGGTGTCATGTCCTGCCACTCACTGTTTGGTAAGTGCCTTCATTTTTCTGTTTGCATCATCAGCATGTGACCAGAAAAAGTCAGACTTTGACAGTCACTATGGACATCACTGGCTCCCCATGTGTCCCCTACCCATGGATTCAGCCTCTACATTTGCTTGGTGTGCATTCTCTAGCTAAATCAGCTGCACTTCCTGAGCCAGTAGCATCTAGCAGGCTGCACAAGAACCCTTGGCTACCAGCCTGAGGTCTGGTTTGTTGTACCTGCCCTGTCTGATCTAACCACCAGGCCTGCTGTGTATCGACGACTCTTCCTCACAAGAGCTGGAGCAGGAGGGTTGGGTTTTTTTGTCTAGAGCCATTAGAGTACCACCCCTGGTGGTCGGAGTGCTGCTCACCTAGGCGGTCTTTCCTTGAAGCGGTGCTGCCTAGAACAGCCACGTTCTGTCACCCTCGTCCACAAACAGGGCAGTCATGGTACTGTGGGTACTGGTTGCTTTGGACAAGCAGCACCTTTGCCAGCCTGTATGCAGTATGTGGTTTCTTACATCTTGAGGCCTGGTGCCAGTGGCTGGGTGCAGAGTGGCAGCCCCACACCACACAAGACAGGTTGCAAGCTGACATTGGAATTACAGTTATTCCTCTTCTTGGCCTCCAGCCATTTTCATGTGGGTATTGGGTCTTTCTGTGAGAATGGTCTGTGGAGGAGAATGTACTTGGAGAAGCCTATTCCCCTAGAACAGGGCTCTCTACCTGCTCCGTCCTTCCCCTTGGAAGAGTTTTGTTGGAACCTTCTATACCTGGCACTTGGGTCTGTAGAGAGAGAGCCAAGGCGGACAGCAAACCCAGCTGCAGACTCACAACCATGCTCATTCTGATTGCCTTGCAGCATGCAGGATTGCACCAAGGGCTTTGGGTGCCCAGACCTGTAGCGGGTGGTCACACGACCAAGGGTCAGAAGCTTCAGGGCAAAAGGTACACGCACCTCTTAAGAGATGCGAGTATTCCTCAGTAGAGAGAGAGGTAGAGGTGTGGTATTGAGGGGCCTCAGGACTTCTGTGTCTCCTAGAGGAGGTTGTCAGATCTTGGTGACAAAGCCACTGGCTAATGGGTCCCGCTCAGAGTCTGTCCTCTCATCCATCAGCAGATAGATGTCTGTGGCCTGCACACTTGTGCTAGGATGGCTTCATGCAGGGGCTAGGTCAGATTCCCAGCTCTTCATCTGAGGTTAGAGGTCTGAGTGCCTGCTAAGGTCTCTAGCAAGGCTGGGCTTGGAGCTGTGGCACACATGTGCGTGTGAGCATGCACACAGAGATACACACATACACCCTTATATTTGATCAGAAGGCCTTAGGGTGTCAGCTGTGCAAGTGACTTTAGGATTTATCTAAATGAGGAAACAGCCCCAGTGGAGATTCACAGTGGCCGTGACTCTGCCCTTGAGTGCATATTTGACTGCTCTGACAATGAAGACAGTGACTTGTTCTGTGGGGACCAGTGACACCCAGGATCTGACAGCACTGCCTCTCTCCAGCTGCCTGGACTTCACATCTCAGATGTGTCTGACACCCCCTACTGTGGACAACACCCACCTTTGAAGCTGGTTCAGAGATCCTTCAAATGACATTCATCACTCTCAGTCTCTCCCTCCTGCTGCAGGTGTCTCTTGTCCCCTGAGATTGACAGCATGTACTAGCCAACCTCATGCCTGCCACTGGTCCTGGGTGTGCTGGGTATGCTTTCTCCACCAGACAAGGGAAAGGTTGAGCCCTTTAGCAATTCGTGAGAAAATATCAAAAGCCCTCTTGTTTCCCTGGAAAGGCAGTCAGGCCTGGGGAAAGGAACGGAGAGTGAGGAACAGTCTCATTAGTAGGGTTCTTCAGGCACTTTGAACTATAAAGGGCCCTTCTGCAAGATTTGCAGAAGAATCTGGACAGGATGGGGGAAACAGGAGAGATAGGAATGTTGTAAGTGGTGGACAGTGGAGAGGAAGCAGGCTCAGGCATGCCAAGAGCAACAAATCCCACGTTGGCCTATACCCAGGAGTGGCACAGCCCATCACCTGGCTAAAGGATGGGGCTTTATCTCAGGGAGTGGAGTCCCTGCAAGTGTACATAGCAACAGTAATGCTCTCTGAGGCTTGTTCTAGAAGCATCAGTAAGATAGAGACATGAGTGTTGCCAAAGGGAAAGGTTGCAGCTTTGGCTTCCGTGTCCCACGTGCCACACCTATGTGTCCTGAATGTGCAGAATCAGGGCACTGGTGGGGAATCTCCTGTGAAAGGGCTGGAGTGAGGAGCATGAGAGCATGCTGGATAGAAGCTCTGATGTAGAGGAAACCCTGCTGCTCAATCAGAGGCACTGTGGGTGGAGTTCTGGTTCAGTCTTTCACCAGCCATCTGACGCTGCACACAGATGATAACAAGGTGAAGGCCTGGGGTTCTACCACCACACTGTCTTCCAGTTCTGTGGCTCTGCAGTGAGCCTACAGAGACTTTCTTAAATCTGAGGACAGGGGTAGGCCCACCTCCATCCTGTGGGGTGGGAAGGTTATGAAGAAAGACCCCTGTGTGCTTACGGACATCCCTTTGCATCTGCCTGGAGCAGTGGGGTCTTTTGGCTGCTGTACACCCAGTACCACCCAGGAAATGCCCCCTGGTTCGTAGGAGAGGGTAGGTAGGTGTCGTGGGTCTGGCAGAGCTCGGGGAGGCATTTCAGTTAGGGGTATTTTTCTTTCTCCTCTCCTCATTGATTTGTATGGTGAAGGAGAGAGTTTTCAAACAGTAGGCATGTCTGGGTCCAGCCAGGCAGGCGAGTGATTAATCTTAGTTTGTTGCTGCTGACAGCCAGGAGCAAGAAATAATAAATGTTTGCAGGGAGGGGGAGGGAGGGGGAAGGGAGAGGAGAAGCTGAGCCCTGCATCTAGCCGTGGGGAACACAGATCTCACTACCTTCTGTGGAGTCAGCGTCAGAGTTCGAGGGCCAGGGCTCTAAAACCCAGGGCCTAAAACAAAACCAAAAAAGAACCATGGCGACTCCAGAAAGCTTCACTGCTCTGAAGAGGAGCCCTGCTAGACCGTCCCGCCAGGATTCCCGATAGCCTTTGAGCTCCCTTCAGCTGAGTCACTTCAGTCCAGCCACACATCCCCCTGGTCCCCAACATGTCTCTGAGAACACAGTGAACCCCTGTAAGGGCAGACCTTCAAGGAAGGCAGTATGTGTGCAGTGCCCGGC